TTTTGTCTCTCTGTGCAGGTATGTAATGTGATGAAATCAGATATGTTTGGGATGGATGGATTTTGTGCTATGAATTCTATAGTGAAAGTGTCGTTTTGTCTCTCTGTGCAGGCCAGGGCCTATTATATGCCACAGCCTAAAGGTAGCAGAGTTGCAGAGGCTGGAGTGACCACTGGCTATATGCTTGCAGGGTGGTGGGTCTCCAAGGACAACTTCTAACCCTGTTACAGGCAACACGTGGAGTGCAACTGGCCATGTGGCATAGCTGGCTCTGGCCTTGGGACTGTGTGTTTTTTATATAATTCATAAATGGGACACTGGACTGTTTTATCTTTTATCTCTTGATATATTTTTTTGTCAATAAATTATCTTTTAGAATTTTATTGACTGTCATCTTTTTGCCCACGACAGAGACGGTTGGTCAGACCTAGAATCTTTCTTTGGGTGTGCTACACCATCATTTATTTTTCAACAGGACAATGACCCCAAACACACCTTCAGGCAGTGTAAGGGCTATCAGAAGGAGAGTGATGGAGTGCTGCGCCAAAAGGCCTGGCTAGAAAGTCACCTGACCTAAACCCAATTGAGATGGTTTGGGATAAGATGGACCACAAAGTGAAGGGGAAAAGGCCAACAAGTGCTCAGCATATCTGGGAACTCCTTCAAGACTGTTGGAAAACCATTTCAGGCGACGACCTCATGAAGCTCATCGAGAGAATGCCAAGAGGTGTGCAAAGCAGTAATCAAAGCGGAGGGTGCATATTTTCAATAATGTAAAATATAAAACATGTTTTGAGTTATTTCACATTTTTGTGTTCACTACAGAATTCCATATGTATTCATTCATAGTTTTGATACTTTCAGTCAGATTCTACAATGTAAATAGTCATGAAAATAAAGAAAAACCATTTAATGATATGGTGTGTCCAAACCTTTGACTGGTAGAGGAAATATTACAAGTCAATATAAAGTTAAAAAAAATTAGTTTCGACATTGCATTAACAAAGTCTATTTTTATGATCTTACCTTCCTCTGATACATCACACCATTCAGGGTTGGGAAACTCATATTGACCATTTCTGATCCTCTTCTTCATCCCAGGAGAGATGGCTAGACCATGGTTAGAATAAAACGGAGGATATCCACACAGCCTGTGGAAGGTGTAAAACATCATTATATGCTTCTGTATTGAATGTGACATCTATAACAAAAAGGATTAGAGGGAGGAAAAAAAAACAAGAACTTACAAGATATACATAATGACACCCAACGACCACATGTCACATGACTTGTCATATTTCTCTGGGCCGAGAACCTCTGGAGCTGTATGCCATAAGGAAGAAAAGAAGGAAAAGGCAAGAGAGGGATGTTTTTAACTAGTTATCAATGAGAGCAGCTGTAATGTAGTAATAAACACAAACAGGTTCTTACCAACATAGTAGGGCGTGTAGCAAGGAGTAGCTAAAGAGTTAAGTGAGGTGGTCTCCTTGGCAAAACCAAAGTCTGTGAGCTTGAGCAGGGCACGGGGTCTCTTTGAGGAATACAGTAAATTCTCTGGCTGCAGGGAGTATTCAGGAATCCAGCATAAAGATAAGATTACAACATTAGTAACTTTAAGTCATCCTCAGTTTAAAGAAAAGTTTATTTCTTATGAATAAGTATGATAAGGCAATGCAAAGAGCACGTACCTTGACATCTCTGTGGGCGATGTTGATTGCATGTAGAAATTGTATAGCCTCACCTATGCTCTTCATGATGTGAGAAGCCTCTGAAGTGATGAGACAGTTCAGTTTTTTTAACAGATTTTAAGTGACTGTGACAGCAAATGTCAAGCGTCACAAATGGAGACTGAATGTATTTAGCTGGTATCAGAGTGCATATGTCTTTATGATTAATCAAATCTTCTACATAATCACATCATAAAGCATAGTAAGAAATGCTGGGATTTTTAGGGCAATATAGGTTTATTACCCCTCTCTGTGAAGGCCTGGTCTCCTCTGGACTGGATTCGATTAAAAAGCTCGCCACCATCCATGCTAAAAAAGAAAAAAAGAAAAAAAAGCCTTATGTCAGTAAATACACGTGCTTTACAGTCTTCTATGTTTGATTCCAGGTTATTGCATGTACAGCGTGATACCCTACCAGATGTCCAAACAAACAATTATGGTGGCTTGTTGCAATGATACCAATAGAGACAGAGGAAATTGCTCTCACTGGGACAAAATTAAAATGAGAGAAAAACTCTGGTAAATTAACTGCAGTGCGAAA